CGTACAATAATAAGTATTATATTGCGTGATATCGGCAACAATCATTAGCACTCTTTTCTAATCGAAATAGTTCTAATTCACAGAATGCTCGGGAAATATATTAATCTTAAAGCTACTGTGTTAAAAGCTTGAGTTAATTTGGCAAAATTATTATAACAAAACCCACATACGTTGTGTATATTATTTATAGCGAAAGGAGACATTTTACAACCTTTTTTAAAAGGATAATTAGTGAGTTATTTGACATATTACCGGACTTTAATTGCTGCTATACTTTTAACTAATTTAGGCATGCTTATAGGGCATATTATCGCTTTAATTAAAGGCCGTGAAATGATTACTGTTTAATAACACAGAAAAATACGAAAATGTTCAGTGAAGGAAGTTTTAATTACCAGGAATGATCAAAATAACTGGACATAAGGTTCTATTTTTGTCCCTGTATGTCAGTCTTGGATTCCGGATTCCCCACACCTTGATTTCCTGATTCCAGGTACCTCATTTCTGATTCTTTGTCGGTGGAACTTGGATTCCGGATTGCAACTATTAGTGGGATTCAGGATTCCTTGAGCTGTATTCCGGATTTGAAGCCCAGGATTCCAGAATCCATAAGCAAAAATTGCCCTAAATCCGGAATGCGAATTGACGAACATGGGGCAATTTCTTTTACAGCTGAAATTTCAAGTTTTACCAGTCTCACCAGGCGCGTGGGGATTTTACTGTGCCTTTCTATTTTGACCTCTTCTATGTTTTTCTTTTCCATCAAGACAAATGCCAACTAATTCGAAAGAGAAGAAGCCTCACCCATCGAAACATCTTGGAAGCCTCTATTTATTTCTAGAGTGACGGATTATCACCGCCTTTCCTTGAATTGTCGAGACCTTTATCTAGAAACTCGTTAGCCATTCAATTTGATGATGGCACAAAATAAAAATTTGGAAAAGAACGCACTTAATTCATGAGTTTGGTATTTACTTTTAGTATTTGCTGCTTTCATAAGCGCGACGCTTTCTTGGTTGTTTGATTCGTCTTTCATTTATGACTAACTATTTGAGAACACAACATGGCTAGGCAGAGATGTACAGCCCTAAGAAATACTGATATGGGGCGAGCATCGTTTTGCCTGGAGAGCTAGACCTCCATGTATTTATAGTCCAACGGCCTCCTTACAGAACTCTTTTTAGCGCAAGATAGATACAGTGAATATTATCTCGAGAATGCAAACTGCCACAGAAGTTCGAAGAATCCTCGTCTCTCTCAGCTAATATTATCATCTAATCAATCTTATCATACTGTATGCTGTAAAATTTATCCATTTCTTAATAAATGCATTGTTATTGTTGTCGTTGTTGTTGTTGTTATACGAACGTTAGGAAATCCAAAAAAAAAATTCGTTAATTCTCCGAACTGTGATCTTAACCCTTGATGGTTACCTTTGGGAAGGTATAGCTAGTTTCATGATGTTGTGGCTACGGTACCCCAGCTGGAAATATAATAAGTAAAAATAAATATGTAAACAGAAAGTTCAAAGTAGAAAGTGTTATTTGTAACGTAAACATTCTTAATAACGTTTCAAGCATTTCTTTTCCTTTTTTCACGTACTCATGATACTACAGATGCGAGGTCATGTTATATGGAACAATCATCCACACTTCAGTTTAGCGGAGAAGGTGACAGTTATCTTTATATTCCTAGTTTCGGTTCTCTTTATTATTGGTTCTTTATTGTTCTTCCTTTTTTTTTCATTGTTTTTTGTTTTCTTCGTCTTTTTTTCTCTAAGTTTTCAGTGTTCTGTGGTCCACAATTTGTGTTTTGTTTTCGGCTACCTTGTGTCGGATTAATCTTATTTTTGCTGTGTTTTCTTTTCTCTTTTCTGTTTTCTGTAAAGTAGTTGTTGTTTTCTGAGTTCTCATCCTCGGAGACCCAGGGGCAGATAGTGGGGGCGAGGGAAAGTCTAAACGGGCGGAAATATAAGGCACGAAGAAAAGTAAAGAACGGCGAGAAGAGCCCCTGGGGACAATGTCTTACCAGTTCCAAACGGTCGCCGCCGTTCTGCCTTCTGATTGGGCAGAAAAACACAAAAGTTTTCTGGCACCAATCAGAAGTCAGAACGGCGGCGACCGTTTGGAACTAGTCTGGTAAGACATTGTCCCCAGGGGCTCTTCTCGCCGTTCTTTACTTTTCTTCGTGCCATATTTTTCCGCCCGTTTAGACTTTCCCTCGCCCCCACTATCTGCCCCTGGGTCTCCGAGGATGCTGAATTCTTTGTTTGCTGTTTTTTTTGTTGTCTGTTTTCCCTTTTCTTTCTCAGTTTTTCTGTTTGCTTTCGTTTTTAATTCCTCAGTTTAATTTACTGTTTTCTGATTAATGCTTTGCATGATTGATCCTGTTTTTCTTTTATCACGACCTTGCTTTCCGGCCTACTTCAAATCCTACTAGGTTTTTCTTTACAATTTGATATTACGGGAAGTGGTATATTAAAAAAAAAATTTTTTTGGGCCTTAAAGAGTTCAAATTTACTGAGAAAATCACTTGCATGTAAAATGCAAAAACAGATGTCAAAATCGGTATTTTTCCTATCCCCATTGCATACTGGTCACGATTCGTGATTTTCAAGCAAAATCGGGAGAATCCCGACGAGATTGGAATGGTTGAACAGTCTGAAATTAGCTTTGAATGTTGTCACTACTTTTGCTCAATATATCTTTCTCAATTTTGTCCACCCGTATCTTCAAAGCTCCCCTACTAAATTCTCGAAAAGCACACTGGCAGAGGTAGTTTAATCAAACCAGGTTTAAAGAAAGTGGAAGCATTTATAAGGGAATTAAGGGACTGACTTTCTATTTAAAGCAGAATTCAACATAGTTTTAATTCGTGTTTTTATTTGTGCTAAATTTGTTTTTGATCGGAAAGCAGCTTATTATCAATCAGTTTTATGAAGAAAACAAATACCAACTACGTTTAAATAAATCCCGCTTTTAACCATCTTTAACAAGCTTTTGGTGTAAATGGGATATAATATTTGCCATTATGGAAATTTATGAAGGAAAATCGCTGATTTTGAAAGGTGAGAAGTGGGAGTTAAAAGTGACGAAAAATTTCGCCCACTCTTTTCACCTTTTAAACGAATGTACTTTTTGTTCTTAGCATTGAATAGCCTGCCTTCAGTTTTCTGCTTGTTACTCTGACGATTTCCAAATGGAGACTTGGGCACTCACGGGGGCTAAACGACGAAATGTTCCCCCCCCCCCCGCGCGGGCTAAACGACGAAACGTTCCCTCCCCACCCCCCCCCCACCCCCGTAATAATCGCTTGTATGTGGAAACTTCGCCCGAGAGGGGTACTTTTTGGCTTCAGGTCTATGAAGGGTAGGGATTTACCTAATTGAAGTATATGAAAGGGTAGGTAAATCTGTCATTTCGGTCTGTAAAAAGGCCCAAAAGGGATTACAGATGTATTTTATGGCTGTGAAAAAGTCGAGAAAACTGTTCTGGTTTTGTGAAGTATAGTGAATTTACGGCAATTTAAAGAAATTCAAAGCTCCGGAAACTGGGTATTTGAAAGGGATTCTATTTGTCAATAGATGGTAAACGAAAGGGATACCTTTTCTCTCAAAAATGGTGTATAGAAGGGATACGCAAATGGGTGGACGTCGGGGCGGAGCCCTCCCTTAAAAAACGTTGTTGATATCCCCCCGGCTCTCGGGCACTCATCATGCGAGCATCTGGAGTCATTAATAAAGCCAGTATTTTGAGCTGTGTTTTTAAACAAGTTGCTAGTTAATTAGATGGCAACAAACCTAAATTAACGGGGTGAAGAAATATGATAAGTTTTACACATCTAAAAACAAATTTCACCACCTCATTAACAAGCAATAAAAGGCATATGTTGAGTCATTAGCGGGGTCTCTAAAACTTTAAGATTTACTTAGAAACATGCCCATTTGTGGCTTAGAATTGAAATCTATTATAAGTGTTAAAATTTGTCAACGACTTGGGATATGAATTACAGAGAACCCTTGCAAAAAAAATTGACGTCTTTCTTTAATAAAAAACTATTCCGAAGAAAATTTGATGTTGACGTCGGATTAATTGTCATGATTCTAAATATTTTAAAACATGTTCCCTATTTGAGCTGGTTTAGCAAGTTTTAATCTTTCAAAATTAATGCATNTACCTAATTGAAGTATATGAAAGGGTAGGTAAATCTGTCATTTCGGTCTGTAAAAAGGCCCAAAAGGGATTACAGATGTATTTTATGGCTGTGAAAAAGTCGAGAAAACTGTTCTGGTTTTGTGAAGTATAGTGAATTTACGGCAATTTAAAGAAATTCAAAGCTCCGGAAACTGGGTATTTGAAAGGGATTCTATTTGTCAATAGATGGTAAACGAAAGGGATACCTTTTCTCTCAAAAATGGTGTATAGAAGGGATACGCAAATGGGTGGACGTCGGGGCGGAGCCCTCCCTTAAAAAACGTTGTTGATATCCCCCCGGCTCTCGGGCACTCATCATGCGAGCATCTGGAGTCATTAATAAAGCCAGTATTTTGAGCTGTGTTTTTAAACAAGTTGCTAGTTAATTAGATGGCAACAAACCTAAATTAACGGGGTGAAGAAATATGATAAGTTTTACACATCTAAAAACAAATTTCACCACCTCATTAACAAGCAATAAAAGGCATATGTTGAGTCATTAGCGGGGTCTCTAAAACTTTAAGATTTACTTAGAAACATGCCCATTTGTGGCTTAGAATTGAAATCTATTATAAGTGTTAAAATTTGTCAACGACTTGGGATATGAATTACAGAGAACCCTTGCAAAAAAAATTGACGTCTTTCTTTAATAAAAAACTATTCCGAAGAAAATTTGATGTTGACGTCGGATTAATTGTCATGATTCTAAATATTTTAAAACATGTTCCCTATTTGAGCTGGTTTAGCAAGTTTTAATCTTTCAAAATTAATGCATACTAATTACCTCATTAAACAAACCAAACAAATGTGTGTTGCCCGAAGAGGAAAAAACAAAGTTGCTTCGGATACAACTCCTTGAGGGAGCTTGCTCTACAACGTTACGTTCGCAAAGTCGCCGTCAAGAACTTTGAAGTGATAAACATGTACAAAAAGCTTTGGTTTTGCCTACTTATCTCTGCCTTACTGCTCCTCGACCAAGTCAAAAGCTCCAATGCAGTCCCTTGGGGAAGAAGAGATTTAGCAGAATGGAATCTTTTAAAGGTGATGACTTTCTTTAGAGCAAAGTTGGATAATTTAAAGAAATTGCATTTTTTTTGTAAACACACCTTTTTGAAATTTTCACCCCCTTTGTCAAAATTTCCTAATTTCTTGCGCTTCAGAATTCTCATTTAGTGATTATTATGAGATCTTTCTTCAGTAAGGCGTCTTGGCGTCTTGGGCGTAAGGCGTACGTGTTCAGTTCGCTGTCGAAAGTCTGGTTGTGTGCATTTCTATATTGCGTTTGACCGTTAAGTAGATGAAATAAATGAAATTCTATACCATAAATTCTTTTATTTATCCTCGTTGGTATTGGCAGCAAAGGCTGTATTTATAGCGCAAAGGCTAGTTTAGTCGAGCAACCAACTGGAACAAATGATACAAATCAACATATCAGGGTTAAGAATCCTGACTGGCTGGAGTCCTTAAACCAAATGACTATTTAGAAATCCAGCGAGCGGTAGTAAACTCGTATTACAAGTCCAGCTAAGCGCTCTAACCACTCGGTCACCCTTCCTCTTGTAAAAGTCTGCAGTAAACATATTTGAATTGAAGCTTAATAAACAGCAAAAATTTTCGCGGTGTCTATTGAACGAGCGGTTTCCTGACTTCTGAAGTTCTAAACAATCTTCCAAGGAATGTACATATCGAGATTAAATTGTTGCAAAAATAAATGTAAAGTGCTTTGCTACCTTGTTGTTTCTTGTAAAACAGAGAATTGTTTTAATGTAGCCATTCACTCTACAAGCAGCTGTGATGCATTCTCCCTGATACACTATTAGCCTTATGTCATGTAAATTTGGCCTTTCCCCTAAAGGTTTCTCAAGCTCTCGCTTCAACTATCTATGCTGCCTCTGAATCCCGTTTTTTAGCTCAAACAGAGCATTCAACAAACCACTCCTCGACGGATCAACAACTGCTACAGTTTTTTCGTCCTTGTAGAGCGAAGATAGCCAGCGGAGGTGCTGATGCATTTTCAACATCTATGCCTACTGGGAAGGAAGCGTTTCTTTTTTTAAAAAAAGTTAGCATAGCCTTAATTTCAGCCATCTTTTTTAATTGGTGCGACTTAAGGACTTGCATTACTAAAATTCAGGCTGGTAAAAAGCACTGCTCTGCTGAGGCGATGGCATACCGTCAAGGTAATAATGAACATTTTCCCTTTCTATTCCTTACAGAGAGGAACAACTGGAGGTAATGAAAGGCATACAAAATTGCAGGAGTATGGTCGGGAAGCTTTCGTCGGAGACAAAGTAAACAAAACTTAATCAAAGTGATGGCATGCAATTTAAGGAAAGTTACAATATTTTAGCTTTTAATTCCCTTGCAGAGAGAGCCTGGCAAAGGTGGCACAGTAACATATAAACCACTTCAGGAGGTTGGCAGAGAACTGATTCAAGGCAAAGTAAGTTGTGCAATGAGAAAGCATTCACTGAGGTGAAACTTATGATTAAGGCATGCTCAGATTGTAGACTTTCGCTTACAAACTCTCAGTGTGAGATTCGAGGTGCACTTTGCGTTAAAGTGTAGTCACTTGAGCTTTCTTCGTGCTTTCGACACTTAAACACCGCAAGAGGTCGCTAAGTACAAATCTAGGTACTCCCCCCACCCGGGGAGTTGAAAACTCCAAAGGCTTTTTAATGAGGTATAACCAATTGCAGTGGCCTAAACTCAAGTCACAAGGATCGGTATTAAACTATTACATTCTAGGTTTCAAACAGCTCGTTAAGGCCCTCTTAAGAGAGGCGAAGGGAGGGCGTATCAGTCTCTAGTCTGGCTTTTCGTGCATTGCGAAGACGGGTCCATGTCCATATCTATAGTTTACTATTGTATTTTGCTCTAATATTTGTCCGCGGTTTTCGCCATTTTATCTAATCTCTTTGTCGTTTATATTTGCCGCCATTTTATTTCGCTTGACGAGGGCGTCCTTTTAGTGCTATCAACCTTGTTATTTTGATTGCTGTTATTTGCTCTAGCTCTTGGAAATTTGGGCAACAAAATAGTACACTAAGCAGGGATACCCAACGAGAATATACTTCAAAACCACTTAAACATAGCATTGTTGACCGTATTTTAGTATTTAAACGGTAGATACAGGCAAATTTGTATCCCCTTTTTTTCATCTGTTCGGATTTCCTAGCTGAAAGTCTAGTGCTCCGAAAATTATAGGGATCAAAACTTACCTATTCGAAAAATTCAGCCAGAAATAAGGCTTCCGAAAAATCTAATTGACCTTTTCAGGGTAAAAATCCGTTAAAAACGGGCAATTATACCAGTTTTTAGATGTTCGAAAATCCTAGGAAAGGCAGGCAAGCAAGAAATTTTACAACAAATGTTCCGAAAATTCTAGATCCCAAATCGTCTTCCGAGAACCGAGAACCGCTAATCAATGTCCTCGGAATTTTTGACCTGACCCATCACGGTTAGCTAAGACTTTCAAAAAAGTCCTTAGTCCGGTTTAATATGACCTCTCGCGACTTCGTCGCTCGGTTGGCCACTACGCGGCCTAAAAAGCTCCCTCTGCTCGCTAAGAAACTCGTGAGGTCGACCTGTAGTAAGTCTAGGTTAGCTAGGTAAGACAAAAAAGCCACCTAAAACTTTCGAGACGATAAAAGTTATCCTGAGACATCCGCACAATAAATACTTTTTAAGGGAACTCCAAATTAGAAAACCAGTTGAAACTCTTTTGTCATATTTGGCCATTATCGGGGTGTGTTCTGTCGTGAATTGTAATACCTGTCGCAACAGTTGTCGAGAATTGTAATAACCAAGCTATCGTAATTTGTAATAACACGTCATAATTTGTAATAAGCCTAGCTGTCAACATTGTCGTATTTTGTAACACTTCTTAACGTCAAAGGCTTATCTACTGTAATCTTCTTGCCAATCAAAAACATTAAAACTATTATTTTGCCAGCATTATGGAAACAACTAAATCATCTCAGTGACCACCTGATAAACGTATTCGAAACAGTCAACCAACCAACTTACTGCGAGCAACTGCTTGTTACTTCCACTACATATTGATCATAGGGGCAATTAGAAATACTGAGGGGTGAGGGTTAGTGGAACAGTTCGAACCGCGTAAATAGCACACGCACGTTATTGACTTCAGGGAGACTAATTTGAAATGTTTGTGTGACTTTTACCATTTTTTTTATTTTGATGAGAAAAAGTCGCGACAAACAAGAAATCAACTAGCGCGAAAGAGTGCGCAATAAAGTATTTCTTCAACGCTTATTATATCACTGATGACGTCATTTTACAAAGAAACATCTGAATTTTCAGTAATCTACACGAAAAAGTCCCTATGCTCTGGTGTTTTGCAATCCCCGCGGTTACTACATTAAGACAAGACTAGAGAATATAGCCAGGAATAAGGCGCCACTGTGTGTTGCATGTTGCTCAGTGCTCACTATATTCCTTGGGTAAGAAAAAGATAAAGAAACTTGAAAACGCGATGGATTACTGTCACCTTTTGTAATGTAAACTTTGCTTAGACTTTGGTCGGAATTAATTCGATGGATTGAACTATTGGAGCTATTAAGTGCGAAGACGTGTTAGAGTTTTTGTGTAGAAAAAAAAGTGTCCGTTCGTCTTGTATATCATTTGCGTATTTTGCGCGACGCAATAATAGCTGTAGCTGTGGTGAGTTTAATTCGGATTGTTCGAGAAGGTAAACACGACGCTTATTTATTCATCGGTAAAAGATACATCCAGTTAGTGAACTTTGCTACTGAACTCGTACCTCAAAAAGACAACCAAAAGGAGTAATCGGCTAGCATAGTGTTAAACATTTTATGGGAAAAAGAAACTCTTGCCACCCTGTCCCGGTTGAGTGACTAGGCCATTTCCGAGTTTCCCCAAGCATGTCTGTTTCAAAGCAAGGCTAAGTGGAAAGCAAGCTTAACTGATATGAAAATGAGTTTTTATTCTTATAAAAATTAAACTCATGAGCTTATGATGAGCTGCATTGTGAGATTCTCGTACGTCGAAAAGAACAATCCTGGTTATGTAAAGATGGAGTTCTTGGTGAATTATTGTTCCTTTTCAAGCCTTATTACAGAACACCACAATGTGTTATTACAATTCACAACAACTCGGCTTAGTAAAATTTACGACAACATGTTATTACAATTTACGATAGCTTGGTTATTACAATTCTCGACAACTGTTATTGCAATTTACGACAGATATTACAATTTACGACGACTCTTATTTCAATTTACGACAGGTATTACAACTCACGACAGAACAGGGTGTCTCTAAAACTTTAAGATTTACTTAGAAACATTTGTGGCTTAGAATTGAAATGTATTATAAGTGTTAAAATTTTTCAAAATACAACGACTTACGATGAATTACAGTGATCGCATGCAAAAAAAGGCTATTTCGAAGAAAGTTTGAAGTTGACTTCGGATTAATTGTCATGATTCTAAATATTTAAAGACATGTTCCCTATTTCGGCTTGTTTAGCAACTTTTAATCTTTAACTTGTTTTTTCTTGTAAAACAGAAAACTGTCTTAATGTAGCCATTCAATTAACAAGCAGCTGTGATGCATTTTCCCTGATACAGTATTAGCCTAATGCCATGTAAATTTGGTCTTCCCCTAAAGGTTTCTCGAGCTCTCGCTTCCTGACTATCTGTGCTGCCTCTGAATCCCGTTTTTTAGCTCAAACAGAGCATTCAACAAACCACCCCTCGACGGATCAAGAACTGCTACAGTTTTTTCGTCCCTGTAGAACGAAGATAGCCGGCGGAGGTGCTGATGCATTTTCAACATCAATGCCCATTGAGAAGAAAGCGTTTTTTTCCAAAAAAAAAAAAGTTAGCATAGCCTTAATTTCAGCCATCTTTTTTAATTTAGCCGCACTACGGCTCTTTCTCTGGATGATGCGACTTGACAACTTGCATGGCTAAAATTCAGGCTGGTGAACGGCACTGCTCTGCAGGGACGATGGCATGCCGTCAAGGTAGAACTGAACATTTTCGCTTTCTATTCCTTACGGAGAGGAACAAACGGAGGTAATGAAGAGTATAAAGATTAACAGCATCATGGTCGAGAAGCCTTCGTCGGAGACAAAGTAAATAAAACTTAATCAAAGTGATGGCATGCAATTTAAGGAAAAGTTACAATATTTTGGCTTTTAATTCCTTCGCAGAGAGAATCTGGCGGAAGTGGTACAGTAACATATAAACCACTTCAGGAGTTTGGCAGAGAAATGATTCAACACAAAGTAAGTTGTGCAATGAGAAAGCATTCACTGAGGTGAAACTTATGATTAACTCGATTTTAGTGGAAAAAGCGTAGGCATGCTCAGATTGTAAACTTTCGCTTACAGACTCTTAGTGAGAGGTTCGAGGTGCATTTTACGTTTAAGTGTAGGCACTTAAGCTTTCTTTAGACTTTCAACACTTAAACCCCGCAAGAGGTCGCTAAGTGCAAATCTAGGTACCGCCCCGGGGTTGAAAACTCCAACGGCTTTTTTATGAGGTATAACAAATTGCAGTGGCCTAAACTCAAGTCACAAGGATCGGTATTAAACTATTAGATTCTATTAGGCGCTCTTAAGAGAGGAAGGAGGTCGGACGTATCAGTCGTTCTGGCTTTTCGTGCATTGCGAAGACCGGTCCATGTCCATATCTATAGTTTACTATTGTTTTTTCCCTAATATTTGTCCGCGGCTTTCGCAATTTTAACTAATCTCTTTGTCGTTTATATTTTTCACCATTTTATTTCGCGTGACGAGGGCCTCCTTGCTATCAACCTTGTTATTTCAATTGCTGTTATTGGCCCTAGCTCTCGGAAATCTGGGCAACAAAATAGTACATTAAGGGCACCCAAAGACTTTTTTTTGCCTGTTCGAAGGGGCAAATAGTGCCAAAAAAATTCTGAAACGCGATAAAGGCTTTTAAACCGGCATTGTTCAGATTTTAACAACACTTTCCACTCGTCTACTATTCGGGGTTCTTCTACTAACTTACCTTTGATTTTCGGGGGTTGTGTTTTCACATTTTATGACCAAGAAATTTCGATTATTATTTGAAGGAAAAGGTCTCGTAAAAATTCCGGTATTGACGCAAAACGTGCCCGGAATCTTCTAATGAAAGAAAGGCTAATCATTGTCCTCGGAATTTTTGACCTGACCCATCAGTGTAGCTAACAGTTTCCAGATCAGACCAAAAAGCCACCTAAAACGTTCGAGACGACAAAAGCTCCCCTAAGACATCCGCACAATAAATACTTTTTAAGACAACTCCAAATTAGCCAAACAAGCTTCTAAGCACAGAAAAACCCAATTGAGACACTTCTGTCCTGATATTTAGCTACATTCGTTCCTTGGGGGCCCCTCTAATGCAAGTAGTCGGACGAATTTTGATTCTTTTATTCTTCCAAGAAGCTTTCTTTATTTTCAGTCAAAGTGACTACCTTCTGTTA